TGTTTCAGAGAGTGGCAACGAATTTACGCACAAAACGTATTTTGAATAGTCAACTCTGTAAGGGATCTGCTATGGCTTCCTATGTTACTCTCTTGTGGAAAAAGTGGACAGAGAGATGGTACAAAAAACGCGAGACGATAAAAAGAGAAGGGGCAGCCGATATTCACCGCATGTTGGACATCATGGTAAGTAACATGAAGAGCACATCGCGACAGCAACAGAGACTGGGAGAACAACTACGACTGGAGGAAGAGAGACGACAAAAGAATTTCAAAGAGTTGCGAGATCCCTGTGCGGACCCTAGTAGTGCACACTTTGATGTAGCATACCTTCCGAAAAAACGCATGTAAGAGAGATATCTCAACTGTATATACGCATAATAAGCATAAACGGTTTCCCAAATAGAAGAAAAAAAAATGCTCTGATCACTTTGCCACCAATAATATAACAATAGCAGCTCTTTTCTTTGCCTTGATATCTTGGGGTATTCTTTTTGGTACTCTATACTTCTGAAAAAAATAACTTTAATTTTATACTTCACTCGGGTAACTTTTCTCATTGATGTTGTTGTTATTCGTAGAGAAAGTAAAAAGAAAGAAATATATGTCCGCTACTCAGACTCGCGTGATTTTTTAATATTAATTTTTGTATTCTACACTGGTGGCAAATCCCTCTTTCCCCCATTCACCACCCCTCATGGGTAGCAGTGGTGTTAACTGAAAGAGATTTCGAAAATACCCTTTCCTTCCAAATATCAAGTTAAGTGAGGAGAGATGTGATGTATAAGAAAAGAGAATTGATTTGAATTACATGTAAACAAACCCAACGACATAGCCTGTATATGTGTATAAAATCCAGGTGAAATGTTTTGTTTTGCTTTTTTTATGTTAAACTTTGTATATTGAGATTTCACGCAACGCTGTCAATAATCATTTGTTTTTCTACTGAACCATGTCAAACTTTACCAACAGAGACAACACACAATTACTCTCTCACACACCAATATTACCTCTTTATTTAACCTTATTGCTATTCTAATTTTATTTTTTATCACAATGCCGGTTCGCCCCCTCCCCCCCACAGCATTACCACCCAATAAGAAAGGAAACGCACCACCCCATGGGAGGCAGAGGCCCGCAGCCAGAGCGCAACGCGGTACCGCAAAGAAAAGCGCAACCACCACCAGTACATGTAGAAAACACAAATCACGACGGCAAAAACCAGATGGCGCGCCTGGCACCCCAGAAAAATACAGGGGTGGGGGTCCGACCCCGCCACACGGACAAGTCCGAGACGGCCCGGGACACCGCCTAACCCCACCAAGGCGGAGCAGCACAACGTCACAGAGGCTACGAACGACCAAAAGAAGAATAACAACTAGTAGAACACCAAAATAGCAGAGGCGCAACTATTGTAGAGGCCGCCTGCTTCGACCAGAAAACTGCCGCCCCACCCCGGCGCCACCAGCC